AAATATTGCCAATCTTTTCTAAATTGTTACAAAGTATGTTGCACTGATTTGATTGAGTTGTATTCTTTCGTTAAATGTTACACATAATAGCGAAAAATTTTAAACAGTATCTTTTAAGCCATTATAATGAATATTCTATCTATTATAACCTCCTTAAACTCGGCATTAAAGATAGGAACCGCAATTATCCTCAATTCAATTTTATATTAATATGTCGCAATTAATGACTGACGAGTTACTGAATTTCAGTTATTTAATTGATTAACGGTTCCAAAAGTTCAGAAAATATTTGGACTGGTTAAATTTATAAATTCTATTGAATTTAGTAGCAAAAATAGATTGAAAAAAATCAAGTTATCATGAAAATCATGAAAAATAAAGTAATCGAGTTTATCACGAAAAATAAAATTAATAATTGAATTTAGTAATGTGTCGCGAAAAGTTTAAAATAATTTTCTTGTAATTATTTACTGAATTTCTTATAAATAAAAGAACTAGTAAAAAATTATTTCAGCTAAAAATTATTTCTAATATTTTAATAAAAAATAAAAATGCTATCAATTGATCAATCAAACAAAAAGAAAAGCTTTGACTTGGGGTCGAGAAAAAACAACTTTGTGAATTTAATGAAGAAATCCATCATCCACATATAAGAACTTGGCCAAAATTTCGGAATTGCAGAACCTACCATTTGCAAAATTTAAAAGATGCAAAGTATCCTGATCTTGAAATTACATTGATGGTATGGTTCAACCAAACATTTTCTGATAAAAGGCGATATAATTCTTAAAGCCAAAAGATTTGCCGAATTACTAGATATCAATGATTTTAAAGGTTTAGATGGTTGGGTCTCAAATTTTAAGAAAAGAATAATATAAAGCAATATGCTATGCATGGTGAAGCAAGCCCTGCGCCTCCAAAGTATGAAGAAATTGCAAGAAATAATCAAGGAATTTCCTTTAGAAGATGTTTATAACTTTGGAGAAACTGGTAAAATTATTTCAGTATAATTATTATTATGTCATTTATTATTTACCAACTAAATATTTTTATTTTATCAGGTCTGCTCTAGGATTTAGAACCTTCAAAGACATCAACTGGCCCACTTTCTGGCAATAAAAAATCAAAAAAAAGAGAGACTTTTTTAATGATCATAAATGCAACAGGAACCAAAAAATTTTCTCTTTTATTTATTCATAAGTATCAAACACCGAGAGACATGCTTGGAGTTGACAAGTCAAAGCTTCCGTGATTACTATTTGGAACTCAAAAGCCTGGATTCAGGTTTCTATTTGGAATCAATATTTGATAAAGTTGGACAGAGAATAGGCCAAGGCTTTATGGAATTTGTTGGTAGAATCAACAATAGGAAAGTTTGTCAAAATGAATCCAAAGGTGATTCATTTCAAGATAAAATTAATCAAACAATGAACAAATTACAAAATAGTTCTGAACAAGTGGATGTAAATGTTTGTTTGTCCGGCTAAATATGGCTCCTCAATTTATCGCAACTAGTTGTAACTAATTGTGGCATATGAAAATTGAATTATGGCTAATTGTGGTTCCCATCTGTATTTTTAATGTATTTTTTTTTTCTAATAAATAGACCAGCATCCTTGTAAAAAATAAACTGATCTGTGATTTGAAATTCTGTTTTCTCCAGAAATGTATCGTATTCATGGAAAACTCATGGAAAGATTATAGAGGAAAGATGGACTTTGCCACTGTTGCAAATTCATGAAAATTTTCAAGAGTATTAAAATTCAAATAACGGACTATTTTTTTTATAGAGTATTACAGAAGAATCAACAGATGTATTTATGGGAGACATGTTAAAACATTAGAGAATATGGGTCTTACAGAAGACAATGTGGAGGAATGGATAAAGTAATGGAATCACTTAAAAATACTTGTATGAACCAGCGAGAATCCCATGAAAAAGATAATTAATTGGGTTGAAAAAAAAAATTCAAATATTTTTATTTATTAATTTTATACAGTATTCAACAAAATGGCTTAATGAGAAGTATCCAAAATATCAAAAAAACAATCATTGAAGGATATGAGTTACCAGATTTCAACAATAATAATGGGCAACAAGACAAAGCTATAATAAACTTGGTGCGAGAAGTATGTTTATGAAAAAATTGGTTTTATTTTTTATCATTTGCAATTCTATTTTCAACACAAAGTTACAAGAACTTGGGCAACCATCATTGGAAATTCTTCAAAGATCTAATATTGATTTACGTTCTAATTGTAAACCAATGTAATCAACAAAAAAATTGTTATAAAGTAGTGCGACGTTTTTGTCTTTTTGCCTTATTTTTTGAATGATTAATTTTACGTTTCACAAAGTTCAAACAAAATTTTAAATATTTTCTAATAAAATTAAATAAAAACATGCCAAATCCTGCTAAAGCAAGTCAACGAGAAAAAGAAATTGATGCCGCCAGATATAAAGGTTTCTTTCTATCTATTTGATTATTGATCATTTAATTAATTGTATCCATCATCAAAGAAACAACATAATAATTATTATTTATGATTGATCAATAGTTTTCTAATTCATTCATTTTTGGATTTTTTTTAACTCATCAAGGAAATTGGAGTGTAATTCCTGAGCTTGCAAGGAAATATCGTAAACATAATCCTGCAGGAATAGGTTTTTATTAATTTATATCATGTCAATAAACAATTGATTATAATATATATAAAATATTGAATCGAATTGGATGGGAATGCATTTCTCAATTTTATTTCTTTACTTTTTCTATTTATTATTTTTAAAAAGTTCTTGAACAAACTGTGTTGGCAGAATTAGCATTAGTTCAAGTAATTGATAAAGAACAAATAAAAAATTTCAATCCAGAGAATTATTATAGTGACACGTCCTCAAAAATGTCGATAAAGCCTCCAATTGAAGAATCTTTGATAAAAGATGTATTTAATAAATTAGAAATGGCATTGTCAGAAGCTAAAGGTCAAGATAAAGTTGTAAGTTTATTACAAAAAAAAATTTATAAACATGATGAAATGTGACTCATTTATTTACTAAGATTAATAGTATACTTCTATAGTACTTGCGAGGGCATATTTTTCTATTGGACAATACGATAAATGCGTAGCGACATTGGGTACTGACTTTATGCACCAGAAATCACCTGTCGGCTATAATTATATACTAACTATCCAAGGATTGACCTTAAAAGGTTTTATGATGATGATTGATGATCATTGTCATTGTCTTAAATTTAATGTTTTCTTTAAATATATATTATATACTGTATATTTATATATTTATGTATGTATTTTTAGGAATATCGCAAGAAATTCTTGGAGATCTTGACGATGCAATTACTTGTTATGATCAAGTTGTAGTATTATTGTCACAATTTTCTGGCGAAAGGTCGGAGCAATTATCGACGTGGTCAGAAATAGCATTATACCACAATGCATTATTAAAAGTAAATTTAAGGTAATTTAAAAGTTTTTTTAAAAAGAAAGGAAATATTTATACAAAGATATATTTATATAGACCGCATATAATCTATACATAGTGATGTTAGTAGTGCACTTCAAGCTTTCAGAACATATCAACACTATGCTGCAACATGGGGTGACAAATTTCAACTTCATAAACGTGCAAATATTTTTCGACATTTCAACAAATTTCTTTCAAAAACTTATCAAGAAGGAACCTACGTGCCACCAAGAAATATCTCACCATCGATTAGTACAAAGTAATTATCATCATCATTAATTTATATGTACATGTGTTTTTGACAATTAATTAAATTTTTTAATTCCATCGTAAAAAGTGTTCAATCGACAATTTTTACCCCGCACACTTTTCGAGTAGAAATCAATGGACTCCATCTTTCGTATGAAAAAGTTCTGGATCAAATAACACGATTTCCAAAAGCTGGTGAAATTAATTGGAAAGTTTTGGAGTTTATTGATCAAGTAATGTCTGATTGGATTTTGTTAAATGGAGGCACTGCTGCAGAAATTAAAAATCTTATTGAGGTCAGAAAAAATTTTTTTAAATTGATTTACTCATAACTATAAAATTTTATGTACTAATTTATATTTGTATTTTTTTTTTAGATGTTGTATCGTGCAACACAAAAAACATTTCAATCACCAAGAATTCTACGTCATCTCATAAACTCATTAATAACATTAGGTGATTACGACGAGGCTGAATTAGCAGTTAATGCATATATTGCTTTAGTGGAAAAAGCAAAAGAAACAAACAAAAGCGACGTTGTTAAACGGATGAGTAGCAGTGGTTTAAATAAGTTAACTGAAAAATTTATTGATGTGGAATCAAATCAAGATTTTATGCAAGTTTTAATAACAAGTGCTGAATTAATGGCTAAACAATTGGACAAGGTTTTCCAATTGTTTGATTTATTATTATTATTGTTATTATTATGTTATTATTATACTATTGTTAAAATATATATTTTACTATTAATAGCCAGAGAAAACTTTGGAATTGGCAAATAAAGCAATAAAGTTGATTGAAAATATTGGTGTTGGACTTTCTAAAGAATTAATAGCTAAAGCATGGAGATTTGTCGGTGTTGGGTATAGTATGCTTGCTGATAAAGGTAAATTTTTAATTTATATTTATATTATTATTATTATTATTATTATTATTATTATTATTATTATTATTTAATTCTTTTTTATTATTTTAAAATAGAGTATGATCCAAAATCACGCCCAGAATTCCATGCTAAAGCTATTGATGCACTCAATAAATCAATCAAATTAGACCCGGAAGCTTTTGAGACTTATTACCAGTTGGCTCTTGAGTATGCAATAACTCGTGATATAGGTCAAGCAATCGAAAGTGTCAAACAAGCTCTTGCTTTAGATGGTACCAATATTCCATGTTGGCACCTACTAGTATTACTTCTTTCTTCTCAAAAAGACATACAAGGAGCTTTGAAAGCAAGTGAAATCGGTGCTAAAGAGTCAGACTGGGAAACAACTGATTCGACAGTTGATTTTAATACATTGGCAGCCATTGGTAATAATGATGGTGAAGAATTTCTCTCTTTCAAATTAACACAAAATGTTTTACAAGAATTAGCAAATGGATCTGAAACAGCAATTCAAAATTTTGATAAGTTGTTTACATTATTTGGAAGAGTTTTCCCTGATTATAGTTTGGTCTCATATTATGATTCGAGTTCAAAGAAGCATGAAAAATATGAAGATACCATTTCTTCAAAATTACAAATAAGTTCTAATAGCGCAAAAAGTTTTACTAGCTCTTCTGATAAAAAAGAGGAGTACCTTAGTAGTAGTAATAATAACGATGGTTCGACAATATCTAGTGCAACAAACAAAGAGACATTAGGTGAAGGATTGTTTTTGACTTGAATGTAGATGAAAAAGATAATTACTATGCACAACACTAACATTTCTATTATTATTGATTGTTAATATTTTAGATGTTCCCAAAACAAATTATGCAACATCAATTGCTTCTTCTTCAAAAAACTCTGGATCATCTGGAGTTCGTCCTAGTCCTACACCAACTATCACAGGTTTGACTTATAACAAATCAGCATCATCATCAACTACAGCAACACCTTCACATACCACTTTAAAACTTAAGCAAAGACGTCAATCTGCGGCAAAAACATTAATAGACTTATGGCTTGGATCGGCTTCGATATTCCGTCGCCTTGGTAATTTAGAGGAAGCTCAAAAAGCTATTGAGAGTGCCGAGGAAATTGATAATATGAATCCTGATATTTGGTATCAGGTTCGTTTGATTTGATTTGATTTGATTTGATTTTTTGATTAATTAAAAATAAACAATTATTTATTTAAATAATATTTTTTTAAAAATTTTTTTGATATGTATATATATAGCTTGGTCTTTTACATTTTGTTCAAGAACAATATGTTGAAGCAATCAGTGCTTTTCATAAAGCTATGGCACTGGATCTAAACCATGTTCTTAGTTTGGTATATTTGGCAAGAACATATATAGAGACAAAAAATCTTGAGATTGCTGAAGGTATACTTGATGATATTACCAAAGGAATTGGATGGGATTGCGCTGAAGCATGGTAAACTATATATATATATATATGTATGTATTGATTATCCATTATATTTATATTAACATATTATTCTATTTTATTTGTTTAGGTTATATCTTGGTCAAATATACAAAGCTACTAATCGTATTAAAAGAGCTAAAGATTGTCTATGGTATACTTTAGATTTAGAAGAAAGTCAACCCATAAGATCATTCAATGTTTTACCTCAATGTCTATAAAAAAAAATTTTTTCAATTAATAATAGAAATTTATATCTTTTTAATTTTTAATTTAATTTATTTGATTTTAATTAATTAATTTATTTGTTTTAGTCAATGATTAAATGAGCTTGTTTTTTGTATATACTAATAAAATAGATTATTATTTAATTGACAAATAAGTGAAGCGATTAACGTTTCTTTAATCCATGGCGCCTCATTAAGCAAAGCTTTTTTCTTTCAATACAAGAAAGTAAAAAATTTTTGGATTTTTCTACCTGCACATAAAAAAAATTTTTTTACGTGGAACAAAAACTTTTCATGCAAAGGTCATTTTTGTACGGTGCAGATCATCTATAATCATTAATTGCTTATAGTAACAATCGGTCAACTTCAAAATACTAAAACAAAAAATT